GTTGCTGTTGGATTTAAATGATTAACTACAGAAAGTATGATCTAAATTGAAATGTTTTTTAAATTAAATGCAAAATCAATCAAGAATATAAGAACTGACTTCAAGTAATTTTTTAATATGCTTTGATTGATATAAAAAGCAACTAGCTTCATTTATTAGATGCATTTGATCTTTTAATAAATGATAATTATCAGCAAAGATTAGTTTAAATTTTAATGTATTTAATCGGTCCGTATAAAATGGTATTTGAATAATCTATAATTCAACATTTTATATTGTAGAATTCGTTAATTATTTTAACTCACCTCATACATTAGTCGATCCGTTGGAGGTAATTTTTCTTTATCAATAGATAAATGACGAAAAGCATCGATCTATTTTTAATAGTAAAAAATTTGAGATAGTTAGGTTTAATTTTAATAAAATATAAAAATGATTTGCACATGTTAATTTTTAACTTTGAATATCAACAGTATTCCGATGTAATTCATAGAAGACATTTTACTGATCTTTCTGCGTTTTAAATGAAACTATCCAGACTCAAGTCATTTTATGAAGCCATAAATAAAGGAGATTCAAGTAAAAGTCGCATTAATTGACTCCTGCTTTCATTCAGATTTGTTCAGTTTCATCGACAAGTTACATGAATTTTAGTCCAAGCAATTTTCGACTTAGGTCGAAACTCATATAGAATTTCTGGTTTGGGCTTCAATTTTCCTAAAAATCTGAAATCCCATAAAAAATTGACACACTTTATTAACGAGAGTTTCGATTGAACTGATCGATGAAAAGAACTATTTTATTTTTCCAAAACAGTCGTTGTATATACTAACAAACTAGCAAAAAAACTCAATGTAGCTAGAAGACAACATGAACGAGAAGAAAAATTCCTTAACCATATCAATAAGAGATAACCTTTTCAAAAATACCTGAGGATAATCGTCTTGCCAACTATTATGTCATTCTCTTGAGCACTATGCGTTAATGATAAGGCTTATCTCTAAGCACTATAGAGTGTATCAATTGGTTATTGAACTAAAACTTTTTATGAGAATTAATGAGAGAAACTTCGAACCGTACTGCAATTCTAATCTTTCTCATCTATCTTCCTCATTCGCATGACCCAGCAATATAAAAGAGCACCTTCTAGAGTGAGCTTGCTTCCTCAAATTTACCAGTGCCCTCTTAGTAAATAATTGTCTCCTAAATAAATATATTAAAAACAGACACGAATATAAAAAACACCTACTTCATAAACAACAAACAAAAATATAACCTAATACAAAGTTTTAGTTTTTTTAAATACATTGTATTGTAATGAGAGATATGCCGATCGTCAGAAAGTTAGGAGTTCAAGGAAATCAAATGGGATTCAGTGTTTTGAGCAACCTTATCCAGATTATATGTGTCAGTTTTTGTATTCTCGTTAATGTAGTTGTGTACAGCCGTGTTTCTAGTCCTCTCATTACAGAATGCCGCGAGTTCCCTTTTAAGTCTTTGAATATTTCCAAGTCCCAAGGATTGAAGAAAATCAATTGGAATTCCTTGTTAAGAACTCCTGAATTGGTATTTTATTTGTTAACTCTTGTAACTTCCTCAATGGAGTGACGTGTCATAGTGTTTCAAACTATCCTCACTGTAGAGTACCTTGAGTTTCTTGAATTCCACGTCAAGAGCTGTTGGATTTCCAATTTCTGACTGATCGGTATCACTGCCTATGTCTCCAGTTTTGAAGCCTTTTCCCTTCTTCCCTTTCTCTAGATGTTATTTATGAATGGTTCCTATCTTTTTTTATATCCCTAAACTCACACGTGTTCATACATATTATGATTTAATTTTTTTTTTACGTTATCGACGGATTGCTTAATCAGGATGCAGGATATATCCGTTTATTATCAATTTTAATTTGTATGATAATTCTTATCAAATAGGTTTTTTTTGTAAGCTGTAGAATCCTTTAATAGCGAAGCATAATTTTGTTGAATTTCTCACTCAATAGACTATTGCGTACTTAAAGTTTTTTTTTTAATCATTTAGTCAAACAGAAACAGAACAAGCCAATATATTTATTCGTAAGAAAGACCCATGTTTTTCGATGAGAAAAAAAAACAAACTGGTGAAACTCAATACTTTTTAACTTGCTTTTTTTAACTACAAGAAAGAAAAACAAGTCGTTTTGAAAGCTTAAATACATGTTCTTTTTTTTTTACACATCAAAACTTTTTTTCGTTTCTTGTCTGCTTAAGTAGTACTATAGAATATTAACGATAGGCAATGCTGACAAGTCTTTCTATTTTCATCTTAAAAAATCATAAAAACGATAAGAAAAAGAGCAAGTTAAAAGTCAGAAAAGAATAAAAACAAAATCAGTACAGAACATGTTTTAATATCATGTTAATGTTCATATAAAGTGTGCCGTCCAATATAAAATCGAACTTAAAAAAACAATTTTCTGATTGAATTTTATTTTCTTGCATATATTTACCTCGATATCATTAGGTATATATTGAATTAAATGTTGTACGAGTTCGATTGAAATCATTTCGAAATCAAAGTTTTTTATTGCTTGAGCTATTTCAATAGGACTACGTTTATTAAATGCCAATATAATGCCTAGAAACAAAGAAAGTTCGTCACCGAATAAATTGACAATGATTCTTGAGTTGATTTTCTCTTTCAAAGTGCTTGGACACAATCATTCACCTTAGGCTTCGTTTCATTCTTGTCAAGATAAAACAAAATCGAGTATCTTATTAGTATTTCATCTCTAGATAAACGCACGTAAAATATGTGCAATACTGACTCTATTATATATACAGAAAAAAATGTCACCGACATCAATGCGGACCTGCCGCAATAAAAAAGAACAAAAAATCACAGTCAAATACATTGATTTGATCAAATCAAAAGAAATGATTTGGCTAATGAAAAATAGAAATTAATGTTTATTAATAAGCTGCGATCGATGTGTCTTTAAAACCTTATGGCAAACCAAACTCAAATGTAAAACGTCCTGGAGTTGGACGTATTATTCCACTGGTGTAATAATAACGAATAGCTCGCGCTAATTTATCATATGTCATTACTAAAACAAAAAAAAAAATAAAGAAATTTATAATTATTATAAATAAAAATAAAATCAATGTACCTCTATCTGAATTTCTGCCCTTGACGTGTTGCCATAATTCAGCGGCAGCACTTTTCTCATAAAATTTAAAAATGCCTTTCCTTTTATCAACATATGCAGCAACATGAGAATAATTTGGATTATCAAGCAATTGCCGAAGAAATTCATATAATAAGGGTCTACGTTGTCTTCCAGTGATCCCATCCATGACATACCATTCACGTACATTTGTTTGTGGCAAATTTGGTCGTACTCGATCTTGTTTTCTTTTCCGAGGTTTTTTCATGGGTGGTGATGATGGTGATAGATCAAAATCTGGTGTAGGTGTTGGAATAGTAGGTATGCAATCGGCCATTTCAACAAGTCCAAAATCACAATTTATATCAGAAATTACATCATAAATTAGTTCGCTTTGCGCATATGCATTTGAATCTTGATTTCTATCAAACATTTTTGTAACTGCGTCATTATCAACGTTGGCTTGATCAAATATGGGTGGTTCCAATGAACGAACAACCGGTAGTAATGACATCGGATTAGACGAATCACTACAAAATTTCATCACAGGATCGTTTGATCCATTTTGCAATGTTTGTGCATGTTGGTATATCCAAGCCACGAGATCATCGGTATTGTCAAACTGCTTTCCTCCAGAAGAACTTGATCGACCTAGATATTGATCGAATTCGTTACGCGAAGGAGGGTACGACGATGATGGATTCATATTAGAAGACAAAATGAAGTTTCATATATTTAAGTCAGAACGAAAGAAAAAATGGATTGTATCTTGTATATACATATATATATATATGTGAAGGATTTTTTTCTCATTTTGTGATTCTTTTTCTTTCTTTCTCTTTTTTCTTTCTTTCTCTTTTTGACAAAAAAATAAAATATTTTGAAAGATCAGCATTTCTTCATTTTCTTTTTTTCCAATCGACGAAAATATGATGTATAAATAATTGTTGTTTTTTGCGCTTCATTTGTTCATGACAAACAAAACATAACATATGAGCTTATGAAATATTTATGTATTTTTTTATGCTTTTTCATAATAAAAACTAGACTATATTAAATTTTTTTATTTCATCATAAAAGATTACGTGTGTTGTATATTTATCAGCGAAATAAGATATTTTGGGCCTTACCCTTTTAGATGACAAAGGTTTTTTTTTTTCTTCGCTTTCCAACGCATAAATATCAGTGTTTTCGTTTCTTCTGAATCTTTTTGTTTTATTTTTTTTTTCATGAGTCATTCGCAAAACGTAAAGTATATTTCGCCGACAAGCTCACTTTTATGTGAAAATAATGTTTTCGGTTGAAATCATGCTTTTGTATTCCAGTAACCAAGTGAAGAACACTTTCGTATTTGTCAGAAAAACTATTTTCGTTTCTACCCTTCTGTCACCTTGATAGAAAGAGAAACATTATGACTCATTTATGTATAAATAAAATACGCATTATTGGTAATTTGGTAAAATGCGAAAAAAAATATTAACTAATTTGGAAAAATCGTACAAACCAAGGTTATATGATTTACGCTTGTCAAGAATCGTTTTGATTTTTGACTCATTCATTGTATTTGAATTTTCTTAAGAGAAAAAAAACAAAATTTTGTTTTAAAAAAAAAGTTTTTTAAATGATTTACTTTCATTTATTGTTTTAATTAATGGATTAAAATAGCCAGCAACATCGTAATTTTTCGCCTATAGAAAAACTGATTCAAGATGGGAGTAAAAAAACACAAAAAATTGTCATGATTCCTTGTTGCGTTTTATTTTAGTGACTCAAAATCAATAACATTTAATTTTTCTTGTAAAAAATCAAATTAATATCTTTCGTAAGTACTTGAAGTGATTTCTTACAAGCGAGGTTAAAAATAAATAACTCTTACTTTGGACCATAAAGTTTCTTGATCAGGTGAAATAATTGCTGTTTTAAATGACTTTGATTGTAATTTAATTGCTAAATCGAACGAGTTTGGTAATGGTGGTGCTTGAGGAATAGATACTTTTGTGTCTGCTTTAATTTCAATCAATGATGGTGATCGAGTACTAGACACAGATTTAACTATTGGTATTGATAGTTTAGAGTTTTCATTTTTTGTAATTTCTATTGATACACGTCTTGTAGTATTTTTTCGTGGGAACGAAGTAGGACTGTGGAATAAAGAAAGTTGATCAATATCAGTGACACGATTTGATTCTTTTCTATTATATATTTTTTCAAATTTTTGAATTTTATTTGTTGCCGAACGAATTACATGACCCACAATTGATGTATCATTTGATGAACGAGTAATAGAATCTGAATCACAACCAAGGAAATAAAGTTGAAACTGAATATCTGATTCATTCGATGATGGTAACATGATAATCTAAAAATTTTTATTAGTTCTTGTAAAAGATAATTAACATGAAATTCTCGTTCAAAATTCAAAAGGTTCGAGTATTGGAAAAAATTCAGTTATGCATCAAAATTTCTTTTTATCACTACTAGAGTCCGTCTGATTGGACTAGATCTAGATTTTGAACCATAACAACGGGTCATACTCGTAAAGTAGCAAGTTTATTATAACTTGATTATTGTAACATCGTTCTCAAGATTGTTTGAGTGATGTATCCCGAGCAAAATACAAATAATCGATAAAAAGTATTGCGTATCTTCGAAATGATTTGACGATTCCTGAAAGCATGTTTCTATGTGTCGAATAGTTTTTGACTCAGGACTATATATATCATACAGGTTCTAATGAGCAATGAATACTCCGAGAAGAGTTCGGCTTAATAACTTATTGCTGCTGAGGCACCATATGTTTTAGAAAAATACCATGGTTTTTCTCATGGACATCAAGAAAAATCTGTTTTGGAATTTAATTTGAAAATTTACACAGTGACAGACCTAATGAAGTATAATTTATTGTAAAAGTTTTGAATTGTTTAATTGCGCTTATTTTAAAACAAGAACATTAAAACTTACCTTTATATATGAGCTGCGTAACAAATATGCTTTGGTCTTTATGGGAAGTGTCAGGTTGCAGTTCGAAATTCTGTTTTCTTAATGTTTATGAGAAAAAGCAGAACATTCTGCTAAAAATACAAGATCTCGGCAGTAATAAGCTGTTAATTCGAACTCTTTTCAGAATATTCATAGCTCATGAGAGTCTACATGATGCACATAGAAACAATTTAAGAGCGATTTGACACATAGAGAAACATTTTCTAATCCAAATTAATACATTTCGTCGACATTAAGAATATGGTTTGGGTCCGGGTTTAGGCCTGAAACACTTTCACTAAATCAGATCTAAATATTTAGGAATAGACTAGGTTCACTCGCAGTCGATTCAAGATACATAATATCATAATGCAATGTTTACAACAAATCTATAGAACTATGCATACAACTTCAAACAATACTGAATCATAAGTCACGCAAAGTGTTTCTACTATATAGTGTAATAGTTTAGCAGTAATTTTCTTTTTAGTACGGCGTGACAGCAGCTCATTATGGAGCCTCGATATTTTTATTGTTAGAATGAGTGAAGTCTCTACTACAGAACTGTATCATAATATTTCGTTCGAAATACTTACCGAAAGCTATAAAGTTTTAAAAACATATTTGATTGAAAAAGTATCTTTTGATCGATTTGTCTTGCATTCAGCTTTCAAAATTTTTAGGCATGCTATACGTGAGTGTAGTTGTGCGATACGGGCTTTCTAGTGATATCACAGTACTCGAGTTATGAAATTATAGGTTCCACAGAAAATAGTTTTATTAAAAAAGTTAACTTTCCCTCAGCAACGTTCAATGGAGTTTTTCTCGTAATATCTAATGTTTTGTTTTATATAATGTGCTCTTAATGACAGTTCACTAAACTCTAATTGGTTCCAAAATATGGAGTTGCACTTGTTTATAATGAGCTATCGTAGTACTACAAAATCCGGCAAAAGACAGAAAATAGTTTCTAAATGAATGGAGATTCTCTTCTAAATTTCAGAAGCGTCCAAAGAACTTTTCAGTTCTCAGTACTTATTTTGAACAAATTATTTTTACAAAACTTTGTAGTAGAGATTTCCCTCTTTCAAATAAGAAAACTATGAAATCCTCACGATAAGTTGTCGTCACGCTACAATCAATTGATAATTCAAACGAAATATGACATGGTGATTTCTTTTACATGAGAAACATAAACAATTTTCGTTGTTCTCTATACAATTGAAGAGTTTCCTATTAATACTTATAACTATAAATAAAAGGCTCGATTTCATGCTTAAAGATGAACTGTGCAAACCTTCTTCATAATCTGTTAAATGTTAGTGAATAACTACATTGCAATGAGAGAGATATAAAAAAAACCACACGACCACTCATTTTTAGCAGCTATGATTTAGAACAAATATTCGAAAATTCAAATTTTTGTATAAAATTTTATATAGAAGCAATACAATAAAAATTATTGTTTTGTATTTCTATATCTCTCATGAATAATTAATATTTTTTTAATATGCATAATTTACTTATCAATACTAAATAGCATTTTGTAGTTCGATAAAGGTCTAATAATTCGTTTGATAAGAAAATATCTTCGACCTTTATTCATTTCAAAAGACATTCAACATCTTTTTTTGTTTTCATTTTACAAACAAATATGATGGCAAAATTTACCATTTTAATAAATATAAACATATCAATATTTATATTCCTAGTCTATTTGTCTTCTGTAACAAGTATTAATGATAAATGTGATGATAAAATATTTATGTTAATTTCAACTAAAAATATTTTTCTACTCAATTTTGATTTCGAACAAAAGTATTCATCAAGCTTGATCTATGAAACAAAACCAAATACAACTATTGAAAATGGTTTATTTTATAAACGAACAAATACAATTATTTTATTAATTAATCAATTAAATGAAACATATTCTATAGTTACATTACATATTTATGATACTATATATAATTATTGGATAGAAAAATCAAACAATGTTAAATATTCAACATATATTTCTATCTCACTTGGTCAACGTTATTTATACGTATTAAATAATCAAACAATGTTATTACAAATATTTACTTTACCATTAACATCAACACCTTATAAACAAACTTATTTACTAGATTTACCAAAAAATCAAACAATATTAAATTATATTATTGATGAAAAATTTAATTCTTTATGGATTTTATTTAAAACTGCTTCATATCAATTATATGTATGTCAATTAAAAACTTATCATTGTTACTTATATATGAATTTAATTAATTTAAATAAACCAGTACAAGTATATATTAATTGGATACATCAAAAATTATATATTAATTCAAAAAATTCTTTAATTATATTTGATTATAATCAAAATCATACGGATTATAAAATTCATTATTTTAATTCTACACAAGAAAATCAAAATCAATTTTTAACAATATGTGAAAAAACTAATTTTATTGAATATTTATCTATTGATTATACTAATAAACAACAAATATGTTTACAAACATGTCAATATTTACCATTAATATTAAATGATACAAATCATATACATACAATACGAAGAGTTTCAATCATCTCGAATATTTTTTATTGTTCAAAACAACGACAAATTGCTAAAATAATTATAATGATTTTAATTTTGATTGATATTGCAGTAATATTAGGCGTTATTATTTGGTTAACATATAAATATGTTCATCAATCAACATTAAATAACGATAGAAAACAAATGAGTAGTGGAACTATTTGGACAAGTGATAATGATTCTGTAACACATTTTTAAATATAAAACAAACCATTAAATAATCTCGCAAGTTAAATAAATTTTAGATTAAAAAAAAAAGAATAATTAATGATTGTTAAGTAATAAAATTAAAATTTTATTGACTCACATTCATTGCAATAGTTAGTTTTTTTTCATGATTTTTTTTCTTTTTAATATTTTATTCAATTTTGTAGGTATTCTGAAGATGAAAATGAAATTCAAATATTTCTACTAAAAATCATCCATGTCAAATGATCATCATTTGATTAAATATACTGTACAAAACATAAGATGTACAAAAGTATCAAAAAAAAATTTACGAGAGTAGTCTCTCAACTTATTAATCACTTTGAAGTCTGGACTTTGTAAGTAGTGTAGATCCTAATGAGTTAAGAGTATTCTGCAGTCTTACAATCTGTTTTAAGCCAATGTCGTGTTCCATCTTAGGAACACAAAGAAAACTTATTTTCAAATTTTGATCTGAAAGTTTGCATAAAGATAGATCTTAATGACAATAGTTTATTGTCAAATTTTTACCTCTTTCAGTTTGTTTCTTTTCTAAAACAAGAATATCAAATCTGCTGGTGTATGTGTACAGTGTAAAAGGCAACGTATTATTGTAGTTGTGTATTGAGGTAGGAACAACTGAACAATTTGAAACGTTCATGATAAACTGTTCTTATTAACTTCAGTATTTATGGAAAGTTTCAAATCAAAAATCGATAAATGAGTTTTTTTAGTATTCTTGAGGGGAGCACGACATTGACTTGAAAAAATACCAGAAAACTACAATAACTCGGTAATAATAAGCTAATGAGTCGAGTTCTTCTTGGAGTAGTCATAGCTTATTAGAGTCTGCATGATGAACACAGTCTCAACACAAAAGTAATTTATCAATTGATGGACTTCCCTTATTAATCTATTTTTACAGCTCTTTGTAGGCTTTTTTTACTTGAGAGGAGCTCAAAATTTGCCAATTAGTCTGATAGAAAGCTGATTTCGACTATTTGGCAGAGTTTTAATGCAAAAATTCAATATTTTTACAGGAAGGAAAAAAGGAATAACGTTCCTGCCTCCGAGCTACCATGCCATATGAAATGCTGCCTAGCAGCTAATTCAATAGCTTTATATCTTCCTTACAATTATGATTAGCAGTAGCTCTGAAGAGAGAGACAGTCTGACACAGAGTTCTTGCACAGACGGGTGATTCAAGAGAAATAGCAGTTAGTGACTTGTTCCGGGTCATTTCATGCCTAGTGGTATTGAAGTTTTCACACAGCACAATCAAGATACGTGTGAAGATAAGTAGTCGCTCAGTCATGGTGACCATACTTTATAGGTACGAAGCCTAAAGCTCAGGAGGGTCTATCCCTCCTGTGAACAAGAGGCATATCTTCGGAAGAAATTAAGAAAAGATTCCGGTGTATGTCCAAGATATCGGTCGAAACTAAAAACGAACTCTATAATGCTGTGATCGATATCCAAATTTCATAGCTCAAGCGAGGTCTTTTAACTTGATACTATAGACTTTCTTCTAAAATTTATATTGTTTAATACTTACAACATGTTACAATTGCTGTTGTTACATTTATTTGCATTTTCGACATATTTAAATAGAATAGTCTTTTCAATATTTTCGGTATTGTCTTCATTTTTCTGTACATATATAATCAGTAAGACTGATCTATACTCTATGTAATTCATTTTTTTTTCTTACGGTGTTTCGATATTTCGTACGATCAATTTATGTTCTCTAGTGCTATTACTTTTCATATAGAGAATTTAAAAATCTTATTGAAAGAAAACCCCAGATTATCATTTAGAAAATATTTTCATGTGACTTCAAGAAAAACGTTTTTTTTATCTCTTGACTTTGATTGCTGAACAATTGCTTACTATAAAAAACTACCTTCTTTAACGACTTCTGGAAGTAAGATATCAAAAAATGCAAAATTCGAGTGCATTTTATTTTCTGTTCTTTCATATAACATTCAATAGAACTTCAAAAGCTGCTCACGAATATTTGTGTTTTATTTCGATTCGATTACTATTTAGCTTGGACAAACACCTTCAAATACATCAAATGACGAAAATATAGTATTTGTAGCCCACCAAGGCACTTTTTCTTGAGAAACTGTTGATTCTTGATTATCTTAATTTTATAAACTTTTCGAAAACATAATATTCAAAATCAGAATGAAAAGCTGAGTAGAAAAATGCTATTTAATAAGATGTAAAATTATTAAGATTAAAAAGTCCTATCCGACATATCTAGATTCATCAAACTTGAAACATGTATCTGTAAGCGTTTTTTGTAAACCAATCTAGGTTTTGTAAGAAGAAATAGAAGCAAATGTCTTGTCCCATTAGAATCATCAGGTCATGAGCAGCACAAGTACCGCTTCAGCTTTTTTAGATTTTATTTTATTCTTAGGAAACTTGAATTTTTTTTCTCATCTGGTAGTAATGTGTGGCGAAAAGAAAAAAAAAATATTTGTATTTAGCAATTTTAATTATCATGGTCCAGCCATGAAAGCAATGCAGATAGCATATTCGAAATTAGTGTCGAAAACTGTACTGAACCATATATGTTTTAATAACAACTATTTTCGATGGAAAACCAACTTGTAGTCTTCCTCAGATCTATTTTTCTAAAATTTTGCCCCTAGCGCCTTCCAGGGATCGATTTTTCGCAGAACAGAAGGTCTTTTAGAACATGTAGTATTCAATGTAGTTTTCGACACTAATTCCGAATATGCTATCTACATTGCTTTCATGGCTGGACCATGATAATTAAAATTGCTAAATACAAATATGTTTTTTTTCTTTTCGCCTCACATTACTACCAGATGAGAAAAAAAATTCAAGTTTCCTAAGAATAAAATAAAATCTAAAAAAGCTGAAGCGGTACTTGTGCTGCTCATGACCTGATGATTCTAATGAAATAAGACATTTGCTTCTCTTTCTTCTTACAAAACCTAGATTGGTTTACAAAAAACGCTCACAGATACATGCTTCAAGTTTGATGAATCTAGATATGTCGGATAGGACTTTTTAATCTTAATAATTTTACATCTTATTAAATAGCATTTTTCTACTCAGCTTTTCATTCTGATTTTGAATATTATGTTTTCGAAAAGTTTATAAAATTAAGATAATCAAGAATCAACAGTTTCTCAAAAAAAAGTGCATTGGTGGGCTACAAATACTATATTTTCGTCATTTGATGTATTTAAAGGTGATTGTCCAAGCTAAATAGTAATCGAATCTTATATGAAAGAACAGAAAATAAAATGCACTCGAATTTTGCATTTTTGACACCTTACTTATTGCATTATCTCTATGAAAATTTCTCATAACATTATTTATTTTAACGCAGAAAAAACCTCAATCTTTTTACTTACTTCACATATACGAAAAATGCCATCCTTGTCTAGAGGAGTATTATAACTGTATGTAACAGCTTGTTATATTATATTTCTTTTTTTTTTTTTTTTTTGAAGGTTTTTCTTTTGTCGGATGCTTTATTTCTCTTTGTGGAAATATTTCTCATAAATACATATTTCAATACACATACACATACAAGGACATTAAAAAAAAGAAGAAACATCAATTACATGTTAATCGACAACATTAAACAATATGAAAGAACTCGAATGGATGAGAAATAATATTCTATTTCATTATAATTCTGCGTCAGAATCTAAAAAAAAAGAAAAAATGATAGAAAATTTCAAATTTGAACTATTTTCAATTGAAATAGCCAAACAATCAAAATCAGCATATGAAAAAAAAAATGTTAGCAAGCAAAACAAAAACAACTACCATGACATTCTAATAAAAGAACATCGTGCATGAAACCACGAAGCGTGCTTAAAATCCGATGATTTTTATTAACTATGTGCAGTAAAAAGCGGGTACGTGCATGTTAATATAAATGTTTTGTTAGACTAAATTTGAAAATGTGAAACTTACTTGGCGGAATGAGTGAACCAATTTTTTTTTCTTGTAATTCATTTAATAACGGTAAATAAGCAAAAATCTATTCAAGAAAAAAATAAATAATTTTGTTTTTAATAAAATCTTTGTCTTTAAACCTGAAGTAGACTACGAAATATTAATTTAGCTTCTGGTTGTGTACGTGTTGTTAACATTTGAATATATAATGCATATAAATAAAAAGATTGAATATTACGAACAGTTTCTTGATCATGAAGTGTTTCATCTAAAATGGACTAGTTATTTTAAAAGAATTTTCATTGTTAGAAAACATTTGTTAATTATACATTAAAATGTTCTTTTTGATATTAATTTCTATTTTTTTTTTTTTGATTATTTTCAAGAAACATGACTCAGGATGGTAATAAGATAAGTAAGTCAACGGTTTCCTTTTTTTGTCAAAGTGTTTGTACGAATAAAAAAAACAACATATCTAGAATTTTACCTTTAAGACAAATAACAACAGGAAATATTAAAGCATGTTCTTCATGCGTTAAACGTAAGGCATTAAATTTATTAGCAAAATCAAACATTGTTTGAACCATTTCTTCACCAATGATTTTATTCATCCATTGTCGTGTATATTGAAGTCCATTGGGTAACATCATATATGATTCATTGTTACCAATTAATGGTGCATGTTTAATCTAAATAAAATAAGAAATATCATTAAACAATAAGAAAAGACCGATTGAATTTTGCTTACAAGCCAAAAGTCAAATAGACGATTGTTCATTATTTTATGAAAATCGTCCGGATCAATTTCATTGATTGCTGGCATCTAAATATAAAATTTTGGTTTCTTTCTATTTCTTTTTATGTTATTGAAAAATAATATATAATATGAAGGTTAAATATTCATTTCAAAGTATATGAAGATAAAAAACAAATAGTGCATCTTTTATTTCCATGAAATGTTTTTTCTAAATATTTCCTTTGACAAAATATTTTAGGGTCAAACGAGTTCTAATATTATCCTTAGTTATACGCAATTATATAAAGTTTATCTATTAAGCTTC